ATTCCAGCAGTGGAATAGGATTATCTTGAAACTCCAAAAAAGAAAAAAAAATGGTATTATTAGCCATCAAACCTCAAAAATACACTTTTCCCAAAAGGTTTCCATAATTTTGGCCACTACTGTAAGCCTGTGGAGGCATATTTCAAAGGTGCTTTTCCAAAAGGCAATTGGACTTCCTTGGTTTTTTTTTTCCCCCTTGGCAACGTTTAGCTTCTCATCCAAGAAGCTTCTTTTCAAGGAAAAAAGGAAATCCAGTTGGGTTTTTGAAAAAGCACCTTTGGGACAACCATGACCTGGATGATTGAGAATCTCCATAAACCACAGTTTGAACGTGTCTGGACTAAGAAAGTTGGTTTGGTTTCTTTTGGCTTCGAAGACATTGCAGTTCTTCCTTTTTTTTCTTTTAAATTGAATTTAACCTGTTTCCTATTTAGCTTGATCTACATTCTTGTGATCCTGTTTCTCATGACAATTGAGACTGGCCTCCGTAATGCCGTTGGGAGGAGCTCGGAGGGTGCCCAAACAGGATATTTTCCCTAGCATAGGCAAACAGGAAGGCACGTGCTGCCCAAAACCTGCACTTTTCAGAATTTTGTGCTGAAGTCTGCAATTCACAAAACCTTTGCAAAAAATGTACTATTGGAGGGAGGAAAAAAAAAAAGCCTGCCCAAAGGGCTCACACTAAATTGTGAAAAGCTGAGGCACAGGAGGGCTGGGAGTCACTGCTGGGAAACTGGAAAATGCATTTCCCTTCTTTTAGGCATATGTGGCATCTCTCCAGCTACCCTAAACCAGAACTGAAATAAAATCCTGATGAATTCTGGCCATAGTTTGAAGGGACCGTCTTTTGCCTTTCCATAAAAAGGGGAAAGGAAACAAAAATTGCTTGAAGGGTGTGGCTTTGGAGGATTTCTGCCACAGGCTCCATTTATAATGTGGAGCACAACATTTTGTCTTCATGGAATGCAGAATATTCAATCACTTTCTGACTAGTGTATCATTCTCTCCCTCTCTCTCTGTACTAGAATCTGCCCATTTTATACACACTTCATTTTTCATTCTCCTGCCTGTGTAGGTCCTTTACAGCTCATTTATACAATCCTGTGAACTTAGCCAAAAAAAGAAGAGGCGTAGAAGAGTGTGTGGAAAATTATATGCATTTTCTTGACAGCCATTCTGGTAATGGATCTATTTTTCTGTGCACCTTTGCAAGCAAACCCCATTGGTGGCAAGCTATTTTCCTTTAAAATAAGGGGTGTGCATTCTACTCTTACTTGTATGGGGAGTCCTTGCTTAACGACTATTCACAATTAGAATGGACTCCAAAAAATGTAGTTACATCCCATCCTCAAAGTTACAACTGCTGCACTTAATGATTGTAACCAGTTATGATCAAAACTCCAAGCCAGTGGTGGGATTCAACTGGTTCAGGCCGGTTCGGGTAAACTGGTTATTAAATTACTGGCTGGCCACGCCCCTTCCTGGAGTCCCCCTGAGGCCCATTTTGGCTCTCAGGAGGCTGCAGAGAGGCCTACTAGGCCCAAAATGGGGGCAGGGGGGTACACCCCCACACGACCCATTTTTGCTCCCAGGGTGGTGCAGGAGGCCAAGTGCTGCCTGTCACATCCCCTGGCCACGTCCCCCATGGCCACACCCACCCATCCAGTCATTAGGGCAGAGAACCGGTTGTTAAATTATTTGAATCCCACCACTGCTCCAAGCCCAATTGTTGATTTCTGACCCATGCTGCTAAACCAAACAGCTGGCCTTGCAAGTTCATTCTAGCTCTTCTATAATCTTCTGGAGCGGATAATGTAGTCAATCTGTATAATGGTTGTGATGGGACGATTTTTTTCTCAGTCCCTCACAGATTCATTTCAGGTCTGCTTAGATCCTGCTTAAGCTTAGCCAGGGTGCTTTCTCCTGTGCCTTCTGATAGTGTTGGGGCTCAAAAAGGAAGGGGCGTTGCCTCCTACAGATTGGTTTTTCATTCAGTTATGATATTTGTGTGTGGGGGGAAAAAGAATAAACAAACAACTTGGCAACTTTAATTTTCCTAAAACCTTTCTCACCTCAGTGTCCAGGGATCTGCTCCAGAGAGAACTGCTTTGAGAAGAATCTACAGCTACAAGCCAACATCCTTCCCTTTGTTCTCAGAGAAGAAAGCTAGCAAGGGCATTGCATTTATTAACTTAAGCAATTTATGCCCTTTTTTTTTCATTTGGGGGTGTGAAGCTAGAGAAGAGCTCCCCCCCTCTTTTCAAACCAATATCTGATGTTCTTACAATTCGGCAAAGGCAATCAATCACAGAGGGCTTCTAAAGGTGAAAGGACTATACAAATCCATATATATATATATATGTATATCCTGTTTTCCATTACAATAACTTGCTTCAACAAAAGCAGGATATGAGAACAGGTTATCCAGTTTGGCAAATCCCTCCAAAGCTGTTAATTGTTTAGGTGAATTTCCCCTGAGTCCGACTTTTATTTTATCTGCTGCAGCTTAACCAGATGTGGAGGAAAATAAAGCTCCTGGACCTTTAATCGTTTCATTGAAGAGGGCCTTTCAATATTGATGCCTGTTTTAGATTTATATTTTCTTCTTCCCCAAACAACAATAATCTCAGGTTAGCCTGTGAGAGAGAAAGTAACCAGGCTAAAGTTAGCTTCAATGGATGATGGTATGCATCAGTCTCACACTTCCTGGGTTTAGCCCTATATCTGAGCAGGTGGAGTCAAGCTATTTTTTTCACAAACCTGTGTATTTTGTCCACAGTTCATTAAAAATGACGCATGATAACAACCAAGGTCTTGGCAGTTATTTTAGAGTCCTCAAAAAGTATTTATCATCATTTCCATGAACCGTAAACTGATAATTCAAGATGGATTTGCATAACAGACTAGACTAAAATGTCATTAAGTAATTTGTGTTTTGTCTACTGAACAAAGGCAACCGAGCTGAGGCAAACCAAATGAAACATACAGCAAATAAATAAAACAAAATAAGAAGGATTGGCAATACGGTGCTACAATATGAAGTCTACTGTGTTTTCCCCAAAATAAGACTGGGTTTATATTAATTTTTGCGCCAAAAGATGCATTATGACTTATTTTCCCATTAGGTCTTATTTGGGGGGAAATATAGTACTAAATGCCTCCGTCTGCTGACGATCTTAACTGGGGCTTATTTTTGGGTAGGGCTTATATTACGAGCATCCTGAAAAAACATGCAAGGCCTTATTTTCCGGTTGGGTCTTATTTTCGGGGAAACAGGGTACAACATGAAGTCATTTTTCCTTTTCTTTTCATCTTCCTTCTCTTCTCATAATAGACTATCATGGTCAGGCAACATTTGGAATGGCTTCACCCATTTCATCAAACTTTCCTTCCTGAATATGCGATACTTCACAAATACATATATTCATTCATCATGATTTACTCCCAAATGTTAATACCGTATCTAGACATGGCATGTAACCAAAGACAAATAAAGCACATTACGGTTTAGTGTTGTCTAAATCAGATTGTAGTGTTTCTTTTTTTTACCTCATGAAAAGATTGGAGTGGAAGGAGAAAAGAAAGAGGGAAAAAGTCTGAAAATGAGGAACAGTTGATTTGGAAGGTACAACTTTTTGACGATTATTTTTCACTTACCAGAAAGCTTTCTGAGATGAGTGGCAATTCACAAAAGTCCCAAAGGTGCTTTTTCAAAAGGCAACTGGACTTTCTTTGAAGTTCAGTTGGTTTTGGGGAAAAAAAACCACCTCTGGGAAAACCATGACCTGGATGACTGAGAATCTCCATAGACGTTTAACTCAGAAAAGGTTATGTCTTTTAATAAAATGTGTTAGGCAGAAAATACGTTATCAAACTTCTGATTTATTTTTTTTTGTTAAGCAAGATCAGTTGCAGTAAAGAAATGTGTACGACACATAAACTGAAGAATAGTTCTTGCAAATCTCATACGTAGAGTTCAAACATGGAAAATGGATTATTCTTCTCATAAGAACAAGGAATAGCTTTCATGAATTGCTGAGTACAAATTATTCTCCCATTCAGAAATGCTTAGACATTGGCAGATGGCAAAGACATCATGACAATTCTTTGGTGGTTTTTAAGAATATAATCCAAATCCATAATCTTATAGAACCAATAAATGCACTTTTTGCTCATTGACTAAAATACCCAGCTCAGCTCACAGAATCACATGAATTAAAAATAACAGAATTCTAGAGCTGGCTTAGAACTGAATTAAATTTCCAGTTTAGTGAAGGAATCCTGATCAAAGTATCCTAAGAGAATGGCTAACTATTTTAAAAATATAAGGCTTTGTAAGGTTTTTGTAACACAAAGAGTCAGCATGGCCTTCCACAGGTGAATCACCATCCTAAAATGGCTGTTGAGAGATTTTTTTTCTAATTTTCTACACTTTCCCCTCCATAAATGGGAATATTGAGTGGAGAAAAGTAAGGGAAGGAATATAAATGATACTGTGTAAGGCAAGTGTTATTACTACCCTCCCTATGCCACATATTTTGGAGATAACAACAACAATAAAAAAAATTAAAATCCACTCCTAATATTCACCCTGTGTGAAGTTGGTTTATTTCTAGAAAACAAAGCATCCGTTTTCATGAAAACATGAAAACCTGAGAAAACCTAAGAGGTTTTCCTAAATTTTTATTTGAATTTTTTGAATGCAACAGTTTGGGTTTTCACGTAACAACTAGCCCTCAAATTTCTTATCTTAAACCACAAAATCTTCTATTATCTTCCTACTGTTTTTCAATTGGAAAATCTCCAGTGACAGTTAAGGTGGCACTGATAAGGTAACTTGATCCCAAGTAAAATATCCAGAAAGTTGGTGGACAACAGGCCTACAAAATATCCTTAAGGAGAGACTCTGGGTCACCTAACATTGGCAAACAAGCAACACAGCTGTCAATTACGGGATTTTAAAAAAATCTAAAAATAATCTCAAATCTTGTGTTTCTTACCTGGCTTCCTCTTTAATCGCAATTCGAAAAGATTCTGGTGATTGCGATCTTCTCTAAGCACCCTCTAGATCAAGTCATGGGGGGAGTGTATTGGATAAAGTAAAATCAGTTATTTGACTGCATGAAGCAAGTCAGGGAGTGATCAGCTTCCTTGTGTTGCCAATGGGTCTACAGCTGGGAGATCAGCCCTTCCCCTCTGTTGAGTCTGTACATCCTGTTATTGTTCTGATATTATTAATGTTACAAAGAGAAGAGTGGAGGAAGGAGATAACGCTTGGGGTCATTCCCTTAATCACCTTCCCAACAAGTAAGAGGTAGAGAACAGGATGGCAGGACTCGTTGCCTTTTGTTAACAAAAACACAACTCAAGCCAGAGGCTGAGAATGGGGATTGTGAAAACTTAGAAAGAGTGGAATGCAACTTTTTTTAGTGTGTGTGTGTATTTTTGTGTTTTCTTGGCTGAGAAATCTTATGGACTTCTTTAAGACTTTGCACCAAGTCCCTTATCTTTTCCCATAATTCCTTAGTTTCTGTTTCTCACAAATTAAACATACTAAACTGGTTCTTTGCATTAGTCTTATGCAGAGGTCTTCAAACTTGGCAGCTTTAAGACTTGTGGACTTCAACTCCCAGCATAGCTGGCTGGAGAATTCTGGGAGTTGAAGTCCACAAGTCTTAAAGCTGCCAAGTTTGAAGACCTCTGGTCTTATGTTTTTAATCTGGAGCCTTAATCCAAGGGGCAGGTGCTACTATTGAGAAGATGCATTCCTGGGGTCCTGATGGATGATGATGTGACCTTACCAGCAGCAAAAATCCACCGTGATTAATTTCAAGGTTATAGAAGCCACTATGGTTTAAAAGCATATATTGAATCTTGTAAATTCTTGATTCTCACAATTATATTTTAAAAATGTATTTAAATTGGTTTTCTTAATTTTCTTTGAGTGCATTTTATAGAAGCATGGGATTAAATATTTAAAATAAATACTAAAAATACCCCTGTAACATTTTTTTTAACTTTTATTACTGATATATTATGTTTGTGGTTACCCTTTTTAAAATATAGGTTTTATGTTTTCTGGCAATTGTGGTGAAGGGAAAACTCCAGACTCTTTGAGAGTAAGCCACATCAGCAAGAAATACTGAATTTGCAGACTCAGTGCTTGCTGAGGATAAAGGCTAGTTGGCTGAAGGAGAAGATGCTTGAGGTCAACAAAGAGGAATCTAGAAAGAAGGCATCTGCTGAGTTATCTTTTGTTTGTACAAACAAATCTTTTCCCTTTTATGCTGCTTGGCTTTGATGGAACTTATTGTCCAAGCAGAGAAGAAAGCTGAATGATCAAGCTGTAAAGTCAGAGGCTATCTAAGGAAACAGCTGCCTAACAACCCTCAGTTGAAGCTAGAAGATTATCAAGACTGTTGGTGGGAGAGCAGGAGAGCAAGCTTCAAACTGCTGCTACCTACTTATCCCAAAGGTGCTTCTGGGAACTGGGTATGTCTAATTTAATGAAAAGAAGGACTAGGGGAGACATGACAGCAGTCTTCCAATATCTCAGGGGCTACCACAAAGAAGAGAGAGTCAAACTATTCTCCAAAGCACCTGAGGGCAGGACAAGAAGCAATGGGTGGAAACTAATCAAAGAGAGAAGCAACCTAGAACTAAGGAGAAATTCCCTGACAATGAGAACAATTAATCAGTAGAACAACTTGCCCCCAGAAATTGTGAATGCTCCAACACTGGAGGTTTTTACGAAGAGATTGGATAACCATTTGTCTGAAGTGGTGTAGGGTTTCCTGCCTAAGCAGGAGGTTGGACTAGAAGACCTCCAAGGTCCCTTCCAACTCTGTTATTCTATTCTATTCTATTCTATTCTATTCTATTCTATTCTATTCTACTATTCTATTCTATTCTATTATTCTATTCTATTCTATTCTATTCTATTCTATTCTATTCTATTCTATTCTATTTTATTCTACGCTACCCTACCCTACCTAAAAAAGTTTCTTGGATGAGAAGCAAAATGTCTTCAAGGGAAAACAAAGCTGCTTTTTGACCTGGAAGACTGTGAATCTCCATAGAGATTTGCTACTTAAATAGTTTACTTCTTTCATTGGGCATTTTATTTTGGACATTATTTTGAGTTTTTAGCTTGGAGTCCCTTGGTCTCCAAAGAATGTTTTTTTGTCTTCAAAAACTCTATCCCAGAATGCTCAACAAATTGGAGGCAATAACCTGCTGCTTCCAGGGTTTGCTTTCTCCAACTTCTTAGTCAGCTCCTCGCCTCTCCGTCTTCAGGGATCTCTGCCACAGCAGTGTCCTGGTATTGAAACGCAAGCTGGGTTTGTTTGTTTGATTTTTGTGACAGAGACAGAAAGGAAAAAAAGCAAGAAAAAAGAACAATGCTTTGCAAAAGGTAAGGCAGAGGAGAAAGAGAAAAAAAAAATGCAAATATAGTCGTGCTTGCCAGGAACATGAATGTCCACTGTGCACTTCCATGAGTCACTTCCAGTTTCCCTTTTTCATGGTGAATTTTATCCTCGAGTAAGCCTGACTTCAGTTTCCTGTAATGAGAATTGCTACACAAAAGAAAATGACAGTGAATGAGTTTACTGTATCGTGAAGTGTGTTCTGTGGGCAAGCAAGCGACCTTGCCTCTGTAGCTCTTCTAACGAACGCTTGGGGTCAAATGCTTAAATCATTTTCCTACAGTTGACAATTTTCCAAGAAAATAGGAATTCAACTCGATTTAAGTCCCTGTAGTGGGTGTTAGAGAAGTAAAGCAATCTGACTCACACTCTTGCTCGAATCTACATTGCATCTTTTTGCCCTGACGTTAGCTTTCCGTTGATTGCATTCCAATTCCATTGATGGCAATACAAAAGAGATGCAGGAAACACATTGCCATCATCCCTGTAATTCCTCTACATTAGGGGTGTCAAACTCAAGGTCCAGGGGCCAGATCCAGTCCGCATGGTGCTTAGATCTGCCCTGCAGGGCCAGCCTGGAAACAGCAAAGGACTGGCCCACGGTGCCTCTGCTAATGAAAACTAAGCTCGGGGGGGGGGGGCACATGTGACCCCCTGCATCCCATTTTCAGCCACAATGACCTCCTGCAGCTCTCTGCCAGTGAAAATGGAGCTTGGGGATGTGTGTGCAGGCGGCCCCGTGGGCTCTGTTTTCGCTGGCAGTGGGCTATCAAAACAAACTAAAAACAAAACAAAAGGAGAAGTGTTTCCCCTTTTGCATTTGAGCATGCAAGAAGGGATAGGAAAGGAGAAAGGGAAAGAGGAAAGAAAAAGAAGAAAAAGGAAGGAAAAAGGAGAATGAAGAGGGAATGAAAAAGAGGGGAAGGAAGAAAGGAAGTAAGTAAGTAAATTAGGAGATTATAATGAGAGTGACGCTGAGCTTGTCGATCAGAAGGTTGGCAGTTCAGTGGTTCGAATCCCTAGTGCCACGTAATGGGGTGAGCTCCCGTTCCTTGTCCCAGCTTCTGCCAACCTAGCAGTTCAAAAGCACGTAAAAAATGCAAGTAGAAAAATAGGGTCCTTTGGTGGGAAGGGAACAGCGTTCCGTGCGCCTTTGGCATTGAGTCATGCCATCCACATGACCACAGAGACGTCTTCGGACAGCGCTGGCTCTTTGGCTTTGAAACGGAGATGAGCACCACCCCCTAGAGTCGGGAATGACTAGCACATATGTGCGAGGGGAACCTTTACTGTTACCTTTTAATGAGAGTGAGGGAGGGCCTCAAGGAAGTCCTGCCTTAGCACTTGGCAACCACAGGTGCCCCCGACACAAGTCCTATATCAACCCCACCATGGTCACATCCCTGGCCCACACACCCCCTCCCAGCACTCCAAGGTGAAACACAACCCTGATGTGGCCATCAATGAAATCGAGTTTGACACCCCTGCTCTACATTGATGGAGGTTTTGAGATTTGAAGGAACATTCGTGGCATCCTTAGCGACCTGCAAATCAGAAGTCCCTGGAGAACATCATGAGGACTTCATTAGCTTAGAACGATACCTGTGGTTGATTTCCATTCTTGTGCTGGAATGCAATTTATTGTTTGCATCTTGATAAACTTTCCTTTCTGCGCAATTTCTGAAGCTTGAATGAAACTTATATTGACTCAGATGGATTTTTACTGGCAGTAAAATTGACTCACCAATCATCCTATATAAACGCTCTTCTGCTTTGCAAACTGCTTACTGCCAGGTTTTCGTACATTTTGGAGGTTTATGCTCTAAATTCCATCAAGAAGTTGCTGAAGTCTAATTTTTATGAGCCCTAACAGCGAGGCAAGTTAGGAGAAATAGCACAGCAGCACACAGGGGGCAACTGTGCATCTGTGCACTGTGCATGGATGCAGAACAGTTATATGGTCAGTTAACAGAAATCATGTCATAAAATTAACATGAAAAATTAAATGTGATACTGGACTCCAATTTCCTGGTCATTGGAGATATTATCTTGAACTGATGGAAACTGGAATTCAAGACAAGTGGGTCATTGGTGGCCCATTTCTGACTTATCCATTGATCCATTCATTCATCTATGCATGAAGGTAAAGGTTCCCCTCGCACATACGTGCTAGTCGCTCCCGACTCTAGGGGGCGGTGCTCATCTCTGTTTCAAAGCCGAAGAGCCAGCGCTGTCCGAAGACGTCTCCGTGGTCATGTGACCAGCATGACTAAATGATGAAGGCACACAGAACACTGTTACCTTCCCACCAAGGTGGTCCCTATTTTTCTACTTGCATTTTTACATGCTTTGATCGGCTAGGTTGGTAGAAGCTGGGGCAAATAATGGGAGCTCACTCCGTTAAGAGGCACTAGGGATTCGAACCGCCGAACTGCCAACCTTTCTGATCAACAAGCTCAGGGTCTTAGCCACTGAGTCACCGCATCCCCATATATGCATACAAATGGCTAAAAATGGAACAGTGTTTAAGCATATCTAGATGTACTCTACACTACCATCCTTTATTCTTCCTTGTTCCTCAAAAGCAGTTTGATGATGATCCACGAATATCTTCACTCCTGCTGACATGGAAATGCTGATAAGAGGGATATGAGAACATCATTTATTCCTCATGCCACTTCACCAGATTATGGAGTAGCAAAAATCCTCTCGT